GGGGGGTTGGAGGACTGAATACTGTAATTGCAGTTTGGAGCCGCGAGACAACTGAAAATGATTCGCGGCATGCCGCAAAGCGAACGCGGAAACCGGAGATAGGTTCCGTTACCCTCATTTTCCTAGTCTCATTCTCGTCCAGCCGCCTTTTTTACGATTTTCCGAAGCCTTTTTCACGTTAGACACCGATCCGCGCACTTTCTTCGCCTTCATTGCACTGTTTCCCACATCATTTCCCATTTTTCGTCATAATCTGGACTAACCAAAATTATCGTGAACTGTGCCTATAAGATGTTGCTCAACTGCAGCTCTGACAGTCTTTGTTGGCTAAAATTACTGTTTCACAGAGGGGAGCAAGCGTGAGGTAGCGCATTGAATTATACTACTTAGATAAATATAGGATGCTCGAAAAATATCTGCCGAAATTTTCGCAAAGTCAGGTTTGTCTTTGAATGTTCCTAAAGTTTCCATGGAAATACAATAGAAAAACCCTGCTCATTTGAACTTGTATAACGCAACCAGGGATCACACGTGCTGCAGACAGCACACCAAATCGAGGCCGACCTTCGACAATCTTGTTTCCACCTTTGGAAGTTATAAGTTGCTGCAAGTTCGATGAGCATCAGCAGTGGGGCTCTATTAAGACTTGAAAAGAATTATCTGTCGAATGTGGTGGGACATTAATAATTAAGAGGTTAAAAAAGGCATGAGCTGGCCACGTTATACATACGTACATAACGTATGTACGTCATACAACAACTGGGTAGTTCTTTTTATAGCAACTCCATTCAAGCTTATAAAGAATTGCAGAAAAAACCTCGAACATCGCAAATTTCTCGACGGATGCTGCCCGAGCTACTTCAATGAAGAGTTCTGCAGAAAAGTGATGCAAGAGGGACCAAGGGTGAGCGCAGCTGGTAGAACAATGGGATACTGAAGCGGCCTGAAGACGGAAAGTTAAGGACGAATAAGGCTTAGCCTTTTCTGTCCTCTCTCAGCTCCCGTTCTTCAAACCGCTTCAGTGAAAGCCTTCTCACCATTTAATGGGTAAAGGGTTTAGTGACAGAAGTAGACACATGAGTGGCAGAAGTGGCAGAAGAAACCCGGGGAGCTTGAAACCAGGGAAATGTTTGTGTTGAAAAAAATTTACATAATCGATTTCCGTTGTACTAATGTAAGGTATGCTGTTGTTACCTTCAAAAGATAATATAAAAACCCTTGCGACCCTATATCTAAGTGACAGCTGCCTTTGAAATTCTGTCGAAAGAATGGCATTTTAGTCAACTGATAACACCGCTCATTGTGGGAACTGAATGATTGAAAGAAAAAACAGTCGGTTTAGCGCTAAATGGAACGGCTGCAGACCATGAGTGTATAATAAGCAAAATGTGGGAAAAAGATAAGTTTGAGCTGTTACATTGAAAATGTTGGTACAGAAAAGCGACACGATGGTGTTAAGAACAGTTTTTGCGGGACACCTTTTGCCAAACCACTCTTACGACACGAAGCATACAGCAGTTTACTGCCCAGTGAGTTGAGTTGATAACAAAAAAAAAGAGAATTTGAAAGAGGTTTAGGAAAATCGTTCGAAATTCAGTGTAATTCTCTCTTCAACAGCTATAAACGCTGTGTACGAGATAATTGTGTCAATCCGTTACATTCAAATAGGAACATTCTTACCATTTTCGGTCAGAATCGCAGTTCAGAGAATAAGACATGCCACAAGTGAAGTTAAAAGGTGTTCGAAGATTTCATGATATGTCTTGCAACGCCCCAATCTCAGTCGAATTCGTTGCTTCGTTTCTGCAACAGATTCGGATGAGATTACAGCGGTGAAGACAGGAAGGTGCATTTCTACGACAGATTAGATAGGGACGATGAGCCTCCTGCGGCAAGCAGCTACTGAAGGTGGCTCAGAAGACGTCACTTCTACATTTCGACCTTGGGTGAAGACGAATTTTAGTCGGAATACTGTGAATTGGCAAACGCCAGTGAAGGTGCCGCGTAACGCAAAGACGCAACGCAAACACGACGACGGTCCTATATGGGCGGTATTGAGGATTAACGATGAGCACGACACATTACCAGTCATTCAGATCAAACAATCCATGTCGGGCGTGTGGACATAAGAAACCGATAATGCGAGGGTCATCCTTGAGATCATGACTCAACCCTTCTCGCTAACAAAGACCATGTTGCTCTCGGTGTACATAAACACGAGTACTTTTCTTATCAGTTGTGCTGAATAATCGATGAAGACTTTTGTTTCCCTTCACCGAACTCGCTTTTAGCTGGTCAACATTGATCGAAGCGACAATGAAAACCACAAGAAATATTTTGAGTTGCCTGCAATGAGCCAAAAGCGGTGCTAGTGATCCACTCGCCTGTCCAATGGAGCATGAGAGCTTGGCTCTCCTTGAATTCGCTCGCTGCTGATTCGTCCTTCCAAATCGGCTGAAGTAATTCGAATCATCCCGTGAAGTTTGGTTGTAACTGAGAATTTCATCTAATAAACTCCGCAGTAGGGCAGCGGAAATAAGTTTATTTGCAGTTTTTCTCATCATCTCATTACCAATAAAAGCTTCGAAATTGTTACAAATGATGAACAGCAAGTATTATAGAAGAATGCTTCTCCGAACACAGTGGAGCCAT